AAAAATCAACCAAGTTGGCTGGAATTTGATTAATGTCCATAATCGCGTCGAAAATATACATATTTTTGCTTATTTTCTTTTGTTTAGCTAATCCATTATTTTATTATAATTATTTGTTTTTAAATTTCCCTAAGCGCAGCAGCTATGTATACATACAAGCCTGTCTATGCAAGTAAGTTTATTGCTGTTTAAAGTGACAGCATGCAATGAGCCTAACGGTCATGCGCAAGAACCTTTAAATTGTAAGCTGTAGTTGTACTCTTTTTCAATTTTTTCAAATAGTTGGAATACTAATTTTTTAAATTTTTTTTAACTTTTTTGTTTTAACTCTATCATTGTTTTTTTTTTTTTGGAATTTGGGTTTTTATTTTTGAATTTACCATTTTTTAACTAATTTAATTTTTTAAGTGCTTGCCAAAAATTTGCTAATTAATAACAACGCGATATTTGCTTTTGTGTACACATTTGTAAGGTATGTAGTTTCGTCAGATATTTTTGACATTTTAGAATTTTTTTCAATTGTATAATTTTAAGTCAGCGTACAGTGGCAACTTTGAAAATTTTTTGCAATTTTAAGTGAATTTTGTGACAAATTTTTAATATAATCCTGATGAGTGGCTAAAATATTTTTCAAAACTAAGTTAAAAAAATATATTTTTACGAAAGTTGAATTTCAAAATTTTATAAATTTGAAAAGTAAAATTATTTCTTTTTAACTCAACACTCTCGAAACCCATCGCCATAAACACAATTAATACTAACAAAMTTATTTAATTTCCATATAAAATATTTAGACACCGGTCTTAGTCCAAAAAATTAAGGTTATGTAACTCTTATTCATAACTGATATGCAGTTAGAAGCTTTCTAATTGTCTGCCAAGCTTTTGAACTCTACTAAATTAATTTTTTTTTCTTTTCTTTTCATATAAATATTCCGAAAGAGGGCTTAGTAAAAAAAAGTTGAGGTTATATTTTTTTGCACCACAGAAATGCATTCAGAGATTTCTCATTGCCTGCCGAGCTGTCGCAGTATAGCAGAAATGTTATAGATTTTTATATTTAATGACATTTGACTGCAGAACTTCGCAGTATCTGGCTGACACAGCAGAACCCGCGTCTTTATAGTCATTATCGTCTCGAATATGATCACTGTAATGCTAACAGCAGCCTAACATACTTATAAACTGCACTTAATTGCATTTATTCAAAGGCAGGCAACACTTCTCTGAGTAAAATTAGTCTGCTGAGCTAACAGCCCTTGGTTGGATAAAGTCCGAGTCATTCCGGTGCGTAGAACCGGCTGTTGTGGGAATGATAAATATTTCGATCTTACTTCAGAAAAGTTGTGAGCTATTGTTGTTGTTACGATGGCACAAAATAGTTTCTAAATAGATTTAGAGAATACTAAGAGATGAATAGAGAATACTGAGAGTCTCTCCTTGGAAAAATATTAATCGATTCGGGCTACGTGTCTCTTCGGGTTACATGGCGCTGAACGGAAAAGTTCTTAGCTTCTTTTCGTCCAAATCGTAAACTGTTTGATGGCAGTCGCTCTGGAACTTTGGAAATATACATATTATAGATGTAGAATTGACTTAAAATTTTCAGTGGATCGTTTACATAACTGTGAATCCCGGAGGCATGAAATGAAATATTTTTTGTTAAAGTCAGATGACATCTGGGAGGCAATAAAGAGCCGACTAAGTACTTTTCCGGACTCAAAACAACTTTAAACAAAGCTCATATGGGTTTGTTACAAAATTCATTAAAAAAAAGCTTAAAATTAAATCATAAAAAACTTGTTAAGAAAATTGAGTCTCGAAGTTTAAACGTGTGTATATTGTTTCTCAAAAGCTCATTTCAAGTTCTGCAGTGAAAATTTTCAAAAGCTTTTAAAATGTATGCCTCCAAGTGTTTAAATCAGGCTTGAAAGCTTTCGATTTTTTTTTTTTTTTTTTTTTGTAAGAAAGCTGTTTTTAATTTAAAATTTCTAAATATTGGTGATATTGTTGTTTTACAAAAGCTTATTTAAAGCTCTGAAGTCGTTTCACGTTACTTTTACTATTTTTAGTGGTCAAAGTCATAATTTCCAAAAGCTTTTGAAATTTATGTCGCCAAATGTTCAAATTAGGCTTAAAAGCTTYCGATTTTTTTGAAATAAAATGCAAAATCATTTTCAAATATGCTTTGCGGCTACTATTTATTACGCCTGCCTATCATATGCACTTTACGTAAATGTTTCTGACCTCTTTCCTTGCCCATATCATAATCAATGAGTTTACTATTTTTTAAAACAAGCCAATACAAATTACTCACACTTATGATCGTTGCCGAAAGTTTAGTTTTGTCTAATGTGCTCGTTTGCTGACTTAGAAATGCAGCCGATTTGCGAGTTTTGAGGTTATGTTGTATGTGTGTATGCAAGTTACTTGCAAAATTTCTAAAACCGGACGCGCCTGGCTCTTATTTTTGAGCGCCAAGGCTTCCTTAATACCGTTACACRCTTGAAATTTATACTTTTACACATTGTTGTTGTTTGTATTTGCTAACTTTGCTTTTTAGCTTAGTGATAATGGCTTGAGTTGGGTGATGTTTTTGTTGGAGTTGGCTGATGGATTAATGATTTCTAGGATTTACATGTTGTTAGTGGATATACGTATGAAATTTGTTATGCTTGTATGTGGTTAGTAGACGTGTTGTATGTATGTATGTTTTATGCTTAATTTTTGCCTTTTTGTTGTTGGTTAGTTTGCTAGTACTTCGGCTGACAACTTGCTTGCGCATACACTTGCTGTTTGTTTTGCTGGTTTTGCTGGCTTACATTTTCGTTACAGTTACAATTTTTCTTTAGCTTTAGCACTTTTATATATTATGTATGTATGTATTTATTTATGCTATAAATAATTTTATATTTATTATTAGTTTTGCATTTTATTTTCAATTATTTATTATATATATGTATGTGTATGTATATATACGGTTTCCGCAGTTTGTAGCAGTAGTTGTTGTTGTTGTAGTTAGTGCTGTTGTTGCTATTACTGCTTTTGTTGGTTGGGTTATGAAATTCCTCTGTTGCACTTCGCTTCCACGGCGGCATGCCACACTGCTTTGCTTGTGCATGTGCGGGCATGTCTGCATGTACATATAGTATACGCATGTTGTTGTTGTAGTAGTTAGTGTATAGTTTGTAGTCTTCTTGCTTCCGACTTACGAGTCTTACAATTTACGCTACTATCTTGGATTCTTCATGACGACCTGCTTGAAGGCGCCGGTCGGCACGCGCGCTTTCACCTCGTGGCTGCCCAACGAGGCGGTGCCGTCGCGTGCTATATACAGCTGCAGGCCGGATGCTAAGCGGGAAGAGTGGAAAAAATATATTTACTTGTCTTTTAATAGAATATAACGGCATTGCTACTCACTCTCCGCCGATTCGGCTAACTGATCCAATTTGGTATCCTTCAGTATTTCATCGATTAGCGAATTGGGATTGACGCGCGTCTCCTCGACGCGATCCGACACGCGTGGCCCATCATCCAGCGGTCCCTTCTTGCGCTTCTCCGCCGCATTCTTCATGCGATCCAGAGATCCTGTTTCACTTATGACTAACGAACCGGAACTGGGGTTCCTGAAGCAAATGTGACGCAGGCGTAGTGGTGTGGTAGGTTGTATGCATCCATAGGTTTTGTTGTTACATTATTGTAATAAAGTGCGAAAATTGTTTAATTCCACATCGAAACGCATTTTTGTTGTTTTCAGTTTTATTTGTTGTTGGAAAAGAGCATAAAAATAAAAAGGGATTAAATTAGCTTACAATTAAATGCATTTTTTTGTTGTAAATATTGGCACTAACATCTAGGTATGTATGTAAGAATGTTTTACTAACAAAAAATGAGACAAGGAAACATATACATATAACGGTACAACTCGCATAGAGTCTTTTCTGCTACTACTTGGCTATGCAAACAGCTAAAAAATTTGTGTGAGTGCTTGTTGTTGCGTATTTGTTGTATTTTTTGGACAAGAGTAAACGTTCTTCGATAAAAAAAGTTGATGCATTAGACATAAATTTCGATCACGTGACGCAAAAATGTTCAAAAAATTATGTTTGAGACGAAAAGTGAGTGATGTGGCATTAGATAAGACGAAAGTGTTGTTGCATTGCTAGCTAGTGAGTGGTGAATAGTAGTTATTACGGTTTAAGGTGTTGAAATAACATATGGGTGGTGAATTGTGGGTAGTATGTTGAAATAAAATGTTGTTCTAGCAAAAAAAAAATGTTTTTTTTTCATAAATAGAATGCAGGACAGCACATTATTTTATATCTTACTTACAAAAATACTTATTTATTACATGCAGACATATAAGAAATATGTTATTGATTACTACTTTGACGTTAGATTTGAGAAACAATTGTTAGAGTTGCAATAAAAAAATATTTTGAGATAAGAATTGAAATTAAATATTATTCTGAGGTTATAACTAAAAATAAAAAATGTTTTGAGGTTAAATTTGAAATAAAAAAAATATTTTGAGGTTAAAATTTAAAAGAAAAAATCTTTTGAGGTTAGGTTTAATTATAAATAAATCACAAATCATGTGTATGCGTAAAAATTTCTACATTTTTACAACAAAACAAAGTAGTAGGAAAGATAAGTAGTGCATTTAAAACTAAAGCATGCGTTATTAGTTCGAGGTTAGGTTAGAGTAAATATTTTTTCCTAAGAAATTCTTGCTGAGTGAGTCGCAATTGTTAAATGATGTAGTAAAATATACGCTAAATTTTTTGAAATTGTCAAAAGCAAATGTAAAAATTACGCCAAAATTCCTAAACATTTCAAATAAGTTCTTTAATCAGCGCAAAATATTAAGCTCAGTAGTTTTCCATAAAGAGAGAGAGAGAGAGATAAAAAGAGAAAGGTCGAGATTCAAAAAAATTTCATTTAAATCAAACCTTTCATTAATTATATAATTCAACAAGGTCAAGCGAACCAGAAAAAAGAAAAACCACAACTTCAGTTGCTATAAATTAAAGCAAAAAACTCTTCATCTTGATTTTGATAGGCTAGTTTCTATGACAGCTATACGTTATAGCGATGTGTTGTCAGCGATTCCGACAAAAGAGCAGCTTCTTGGGAAGGAAAGGACATGTGCAAAATTTCAGAACGATATCTCAAGAATTGAGGGACTAAATCACGTATATAAAGAGCGACGGAAGAACATATGACTGAATATATACTTATCAGGGATCTGGTTGGTACAAAAGTCATGACAAAATCGAATCAGACTAAATAAGCGGTTAACGGTTTATGCAGACTTAAGTCCAATTCTAATGTTATGTGGATAATSCAAGTTGAAATGATTTCGGTTATTCTCGGTAACCTAAGAGAAGATAAAATTTTCAGAAATATTCCTGGTAACCTAAGAGAATAACCGAAATCATTTGGAATCCATGGTGAAATAGCTTTTCCTGAGAGTTAAGCTTAGATCGCTGAAAAAACTGTTGACTGGATAATTTTCTGAACGCAGAGTTCACCTAAAATTATATCCGATTGGAAGACGGAAGGATTTTCTTTAATAAAAATTACAATGTATTACCAAAATTAGACTTCAATGAAGAAATGTAAAATACAGCACACATGCTGATAAGTGCCAAAATGTTGAAAAATCATGAAGCATGCGACCAAATTTCGACAAAACAAATCTAAAACAATAATATACGCATATAGTTTTCAGAAATAAGTACCCGTGAGCATAACATAGAGTTAAATGCGTGCAAAATTCAAAAAAAAAAAAAAAAACGCAAAATCGTTCGAGCGAAAAAGCGCACATTCAAATACATAGCCGAGCAATTCCGACACTACTTTCGAAAACAAGTCAAAATTAATTTTTACTGAAACGAAAACTTTGTAGCGTTCGAGGACATTGAAAACAGAGACTAAATTATGCATTTGAAGACTGCCTCGCAAGAAGGCTGTCAAAAATCTAGTAAACAAGTCACCCAGCGCGAACGCACATTGTAATGCTGGGCCGACGTATGATTTGTGTGGTCGCGAGCGGTGACAGAGTCGCGCCCGATGCGCACAGACCGGCGTTATTGTTGGCGGCCACCTGTGCCGCCGCCGCTTCGGCCGCCGCCATTGTAGCGGTGGTGAGCAGCAGTGATGCGGCCGACGGATTCGAACGTATGCTGCAAGCATCGGTAGGACTGGCCGCCAAAGAGCTCAGCGCGTCGGTGGTCGCCGAAGTGGAGGTGAGCGCGCCGCCGCTCGCCAAGCGTGGACTATTCGCRCCGCTGCTGCCACAGCCACCGACAGCGCCGCCGCCACCTACACCACTGCCAAAACCGTTATTGCTTGGTGAGCCAATCAACTGCTGGTTGGCGTTGTTGGTGTTGGGTGTGCTCACGCCGCCGCTATCGCTGAAGCCAATGCCATCGACGGTGTCRCTGCTRCTGCCGATGCCCGCCTGWGCRCCACCGGCACATTGGAAGGTGATGACGGCGCCGCTGCTGCTGCTGCCGCTGGACGAGGATGCCGAATGCGTGGAGTGAATGCTGCCTAGTGTGCCACTGGGTGAGGAGCTGGTGTTGGCRGCCGACGCCGCAGCGGCGGAGGGCGATGTGTTGGCGCCCAATGCGATGGATGAGATCTGGCGATTGCTGCCGTCGAGTAGGCGACGCGGTACGCCGCTAAAATTGCGACCGGTGCTGTTACGTTTGCGAAGCACGTGATTTACGGTTTTTAGCGTTATATATTTAACGATATTGTTTTTTTTTTTTGTTTTGTTTTCGTCAAGGGCGAAGCGGAAAGCAAAATAACGACGGAAAAACAGTAGAAAAGACACACATATGTATATWTATAATAATTCATATGTATAGAAATGTATATATATATTATATATATGTATGTTTGTTGTATAGACATTGATAAGCATGGCAACGTAATGGAGGTTTCAACACAATAAGAAGCTAAAATTTAAATTTTAAATAATTTTTGCCATCAAATTTTTTTTAAAGAAAAATAAATTTACAAATATATATAGCTACTATGTACATATGTATGTGTTTATGTATTGCGATGTGTCTAGCTATTTGCCTCAAAGTATGCGTGTGTGTGTAAGGTGCGTGTAGGACGTCGATTCACTCAAGAAAAAATTCGAAAAAACACAAGAAAATATAAAAAAAAAATTAAGCAATAAAAGTAAAAAAAAAATACAAGAAAAAGCAGACARCAACACATAACGAAAAAAATTTTCAAAGTATAAAACTGAGTAACGGACAAATAAATAATTGCTCAGAGCAGACACCAGACGTTGCAGCCTTAAAGTAGGCTATCTTCATTTCTTCGAGATCTCGAGGACATTACAGAACTTAGAAGGCGAAATATTATTCAGCAATATTGCTTAAAATATACGAAAGAAATAGTAAATGCCCTACGTAAAAAATTTTCAACAATAAACAAAAATTAATTAAAATTAAAAAATTAATTTAAAAAA